GGTTTCTGTGTATTTAGTATTATTGTTATTTTGCCCAGTTTCTGAGATTGGATAAGTTTTGTTTTAGAAGCCAGGATACCCTAGTGAGGCAATGCTGGGTTTATGATTTCAACTTCATGGTGAAATAAAAGTGAATCATGTGGATGACAAAAAATGACTTCATGTATTAGAGACACTCATTGGGAGGAAACTCCACACCAGATCTGGGTTATGCAGGTTTTTATATTTAAGCCTGGAGATGGAGCAGAGATCAGACTGTGGCTAAACCCAGAACCCAGATAGCAATTATGTTGTTCCCAGCATGTTCAGATGTTCTGAACAAGGAGCTACATGCAGGTGAGACTGTGTTATCCAGACCCTTCCCCATGACTGAAGAATAAAGGATAAAAATGTGATAATTTTGCAATATAAAGATGATACAGGAATAAAGCAACATTCTGCTGATGGGACTAAAAACTGGAGCCCCAACTACAAAAAAACTGCCACATTTTAGAATTTTTAGCATCAACTCACCATGAAATGAACTCTTCCAATACTACACATCTGACTGGGTGAAATTAAAGCTCATGTTCACTGAAAACACTGTGTGCAGTTGCTTGTGGGGCCTTCACACATGCTTTAAAGTGGAAACAAGGGCCAAACCCAGAGCTCAGTGCAGGGCCGTGTGCTGATGGTGTCTGAGGTACTGCTAAGCCCCGCATTGTAGCCCTTGTCATGGGATCCAAGAAAACAGAGTCGCTCATTCAATACTGGAGAATCCTAGAACTCCACTTTCCCTCAGATGCCAGCAGTTTCCTGTCACAGGACTATGTCTTGTGCATGTCAGAGACAATACTTGGACAGAGGAGGTTTTGGATGCAGATACAAGAGTGAGTCTCTGCATGTGTGTGCATGTGCACCTGTGTGTCTGTGTGTGCGCGTGTTCCTGCGCACACTAAGGGGAGCTCAGGTCATATGTCTCATAATGGCTTCCAGGACTTCCACCTTCCTCTGAATTTGGATAAGACCAGCTAATTTTCTTTATAAAAATAATAGTATTCTTTACTGTAATTTGTAATAGGAATATTCATTCAAATCACTGTCTTCCCAGTCATCAGTGGAAACTCAAACCACTGATCCTCTATCCAGGATCCTGACGTTAATTTTCTCAGAAGCATGTGAGCCCTGGTGCAGCCCAGTCTTTCCAAGGACATTGCTGAGAATTCAGGATGAAGCCTGGGACTCTGAATCCACCTTCTGTGTGTTCCTGTGCCTCCTTACAGAACTCCTCTGACTCTCAGTCTCAATGCATATTTCATAACTTCACCCTCTTCCTCGTTATGCTTTCCAGCTTCTGACAGCTAAGACCCTCACCAGTGGGGATGAGTCTAACCCATAAGCCTTCGAGGTGCTGCAGGTCTTTGGTCTGAGGACAGCACACCTGGGTGGGAGTGGATTGTGGAAAGACTCAGCTTGAAAAGATGACACAGAGGAGTTGGCAATGACCCTCAGGCTGCACTCCTGGCAGTTCACACTCAGAACCTTTAGTTACCTGGGATTTTGCAGTTGATCCAGGAGTGTGGGGTGAATCTTCCTCCCAGCTCTCATGCCACCTGGAGACGTCAAACACAGGTAGGTGAGGTTTGGTCCCATTTCTCACATCACATGGACAATATCTGCATCTCTGTGTAGATTTAAATATGCAGAGCCGAAGTGAGTTTGACAGTACCTTACATTGTTAAATGGCATTTATGTAAAAATAAGACAACACAGTGGAAATTAAACATCTTTCAATCACAATCCCCTGATAAGTAAAGATGTTTTCCTGAATGCTGCCATTGATAGAAAGTCAACTATTAGAGACTCCTGAGAATATGTGCATGACACTTGCTCACACGTGATCAGATACACACGACCATAGAACAGAATCGTTATGTTCTCATCACAGGAGGGGGTCCAGGAACCCTCACCAGGCTTGTCCAACTCTGTCTTAGAAGTGATTCTGGACCAGTTACGTCCAGAGGGGCAGAGCAAATGTGAAAACCCTGGGACAACTCCTCACAAAGCTGTGTCCCTGGACAGTCCACAAATGACTTACTCTTCTGGGGTTACTTAAGTCTCCAATATGGGAGGAACACTGAGGGCTACACCAAAGGATTTCTGGGCATGTGTAGAAAACAGAATAAAGCACAATACTAAGTGATTACCCTGAAAATTTCGCATAAGAGAACAGATATTTCCAAATGCTACCAACACCAGCAAACCACAGACACTCACAGCTGCTCAGGGGCCTGGCCCTCTCTGAGGCCAGCAAGGCCCTGACTTGCTATGTAGTGAGATGACATGCAAATAGGGCCTCCCTCTGAGGATAAAGCCACCCGGCCTGGCCCTGCAGCTCTGGGAGAGGAGCCCCAGTCCGGGATTCCCAGCTGCTCCCGTTCTCTGATCAGGACTGAGCACAGACGACTCACCATGGAGCTGGGGCTGAGCTTGGTGTTCCTGGGTGCTCTTCTACAAGGTAATTCATGGAGAAGGAGAGATACTTAGAATGTGGGTGGTCGTGAGTGAGGGAATCAGAGGACATGTGACAGTCTCCTGACCAGGATGTCTTTGTGTTTGCAGGTGTCCAGGCTCAGGTGCAGCTGGTGGAGTCTGGGGGAGGCTTGGTGCAGCCTGGGGGGTCTCTGAGAGTCTCCTGTGCAGCCTCTGGATTCACCTTCAGTAGCTACTACATGAGCTGGGTCCGCCAGGCTCCAGGGAAGGGGCTCGAGTGGGTCTCAGCTATTAATAGTGGTGGTGGTAGCACATACTATGCAGACTCCGTGAAGGGCCGATTCACCATCTCCAGAGACAACGCCAAGAACACGCTGTATCTGCAAATGAACAGCCTGAAACCTGAGGACACGGCCCTGTATTACTGTGCGAGAGACACAGTGATGGGAAGTCATTCTGAGTGCAGACACAAACCTCTCTGTATAGAGAGACAGCGGAGGATGCAGGGGGCTTGAGGACCCTGCCTACATAGAACCCTAGAGCAGCCACATGTACAGGGGGACTGGCAGGGGCTTCCTCTGGTGATCAGTGATTTCCCCTTCCTCTTCCGGCTCCCAGCTCTCCTCAGGGTCATTTCCTGTTGTGTTCTTTCTGGCTTTATTGTACACATCCTGTCTATAGGCCCCAGTGGGAGGAGTAACATTCTCTGTTTGCAGATGGGTCCTCTCTTTATCCGGCCCCTATATGTCCCTGATTCCTTGTCACAGAGTCATGGAATTCTAGCCTCAGACATGCACCTGCTATCCCCTCGTGGCACTTCCTTCCTCCTGCACGGATGACCACACGTGCTTGCGGTCGGCCCCCCTGGTCTCTGCCCCCCTTGAGGCATGTTGTGCTCCTGGCCCTCGCCCACTCAGGGGGACATTGGTGTCAGGGATCCTCTTCTGTATCAGCCCTTCAGGAGTCCCCTGAGGATAAAAGCAGCAACAGGAGGACAAGTAAACACGTGGCACCAGGAAGATTCTGCACAGGAAAGGAAACAGCATTCAGAGGAAAGACGCAAACTATAGACCAGAAGAAACTGTTTGCAAAACGTAGTCTAATAAGGGATTAATACGTAAAATACATAAGAAGTCCTAACAAAAATAACAACAATACTTTGGTCAAAGTAATTCCAGTTAGGAATTTGAATGGATGTGGAAGAGACACACTTAGCCATCAGGTACATGCAATACGGATCGGTGTCAGTAACCGTGGGGGGAATGCAAGTCAAACCACAGGAAGAAATCACTCTAACGGTGTCAGGATGGCCCACCTGCAGCGAACACTCTGTCAGGTGGTTGGGCCAGAAGCCCCCTTGCCTGGTGTCCCCTCTCCGTCCTTTTCCGTCCTCCACCCATCACCCACTTCTTGGACATGGGTTACAGGCTGCCCTTGTTTTACTCAGAGCTGAGCCCCATCTCCCCCCTGCTGCAACGCTCCATCACAGTCCCCCTGGGTTAAGCCTGCCTTGCCTCTCTTAAACCAGTGTGAGCATAAACACTATTTTCCTTAAATGCTCCTCCCCTGGGTGTGTGAGTCGATTATGGAAGGTGTCACACCTGCTGTCAGCTTGGCCCCACCAGGAGAAAACCCACCTTCCACTTGGTGCCCAGCCTTGGTGCCTTCAGATGACACTCAACTTGGCAGGCAGCAATCTGTCCTAACCAGATTCACCACATTGCAGTGCGGCCCTGCTTCTGCTCCTGGGGCTTCCTCCCACCAGAACCGCTGCCCAGTTGCTGGACGTCTCATGCCCTGGTGGGAGCGCCCCTGTGACGCGGTCTGAGGCCAGGAATCTGGTGGTTGTAGAGGGGCACATGGGACCTGGTGGGGGAAAAAAGGGGCTGATCCTCGTGCCTGCAAAGGGGCCACTGTGTGTTTGTCCCCAGGTCTTCTAGGGCACGGTCTTCCAGGAGACAACATAAGCCCTAAAGCAAAGTCCACTGTGGGCAGGTCTGCTGCGCCCATGTCAGCACAGTGGTCCGCATGGAGTGCCGCGGCCCAGAGCGAGAGCGCCAGGTCTGGGAACCGTGGCACAAGTAGAGTTAAGTCCTTTCAGCAGGGATGGTGACCGTGTGCAGGGTTTGACTTCAGACGCCCACAGCTGAGGCTGTGATGACTTGCAGGAGCCAGTTCTCAAGAAGGAATGCTTCCTCAGTGGGCACAGGAAGGCCTCCACTGAGCCTGAGGCTGTGGCTGTTGCCTGGCCTGTTGGTGTCCTCATGACTGTGGCTCAGCCCCAACAGAACGCGTTACTACACCTGTGTTGAAAAGGGACTCCTACTGTGTTTTGCGGTGAGCCGGCCGCTCCCCACAGGGACAGGGAGGAGTCCTCTGGCCTGGGACGTGTCTGTGAGTTTCCCATTCCGTCCGACACTCAGGAGGACCCTGGCATGAAGAGCACCTGCTGGTCGCCGGGTGGGCAAGGGCAGTGGGCACTCAGTGTATGAGGTGTGGGCCACCCACCAGGCAAACAGCACACGGTGGCCCCTCTGAGAAGAGCCAGGTGCTGAAGAAGTGCAGTCTGAGACAGGGAGGGGACGATGGCGGAGGTCAGTAAGGCTGCAGGGCCAGCCGCCCCAGTGACGCTGAAGGCCGACCCACTGACACTGACCTTGTCACTTCTGGGAACAGTGGGGCTGGCCATAGCCTCGAGTCCTTCCTGGCAGAGTGGACTGGACGTGGGTCTGTGTGGATGCACCTAGCAAACGTGGACTTCAGGGACCCACCATGCTGGAGTCCTGCTGCCCCTGTTCACGTCTGCAGGTCAGCACAGATTTCAGCAGCAGTTGTGCTGGACAGCTCTGTGCAAGGAGACTGGAGGACACGGGCTGCCCTGCTGTGGGCAGCGGCCTCCCCAACCCCAAGCCCCCCATCACCTGACCGGCCGTTGGAAAGACAGAACCCCTACAGGCCTTTCGCCAGAGTTCTCAGGGCAGCCTTCCTCGGTGCGGGGGTGTAAGGCTGGGCACCAGTCCACTGGGAAGCCACAGAGCCCAGATCAGCAGGGACCGAAGGAAGCGTTTCCTGCTCTGGATGGCTCCTTCTCCGTTTCTGGTTGATGGTTTTAGGCTGTTGGTGCTAGGTCTATGGGAAAATGTTAAAAAGTGGAAAGAGGCGATCGTGTGGCGTGTGCACTCCCAGGCCCGTCCTTGTCCCACCCCACCCGCCCTGCGACTTGAGGATGGCCAGCCTCCCCAGAATCCACGCTTCCAACCACACCTAATTGTGTTTCCACGTTCCTGAGGCTGCAGGATTTAACAGCAGATGACGTAAGAGTGGCTGGCTCAGCACTGTTCTCGTTTGCTGACGCCTGACGCCCTGAGTTAAACGCAGAAGGGACTTGTGATACAGTCCGGGGGGCAGAACCCTGGGACCAAGGTGTCAGCAGGGCTGATTTCTTTGGGGTTTTCTCTCGTCAGTTTTAGAGGGCTGTGGTCCCCTCCCGTCCTCACATGGCCTTACTCTGTGTGTGTCTGTGTCCTAACGGCCTTCTCTTATAAGGACTGCCATCACACTGCATTAGTGTCACCGAATGAAGACACATTGATTATCACCACTAAGACCCTGTCTCTGAGTGCAGCCGCATTACGGGGCCCTGGGGGCAGCGCTTCAGCATGTGAGCTTCGGGGAAACACGTTCCAGCCCTTACCACACTCAGAGTGGGGTTTTATTGCACCCGCACCAGCGTGGGGACGTTCAGGGATAAGCTTCACCCCATTGCTAAGGCTGGGCCGGTGTACCTGCACCTGAGGCGCAAGGAGCCGTGCCTGCAGAGCATGTTACCGTGCAGCTGCCTCAGCCCTGCCCCGGAGGTGCAGGCTCGGGCGTCGGGGCTGGGCCTACCACTCTGCATCTCAGCCAGGCCCCCTGGAGGCTGCCGTGAAGACCGCACGGTGATGGACGCAGGGGTTGAGAACACTGGGCTCACTGACGGCTGTACCTCCTGCTCCAGCACTTCCGCGCAGTGCAGGGCCCTGGGGGCTCCCACCCGAACGGGGTGGGGGAAGGCGGAGTACTGGGCATCATCCCACCCCTCCAGTGGGGCTCAGACGAGGACCTCTCCCTGCCCGAAGGCTTCTGGGTTATGAATGCTGGGGAGTCTCACCTGGAGGGTGGGACAATAAAGATGCAAATTTATGGGGAGGAACTGTCCCTGTAAACCCAGTGCCCCCCTCGACAGTGCAGTCTCCCTCACTGCCCAGCGGGGGTCCTCGAGTGCTGTCCGTCCTTTCCTCCTCCAGGATGCGGTCTGTCACAGCCATCACCCTGCTCCTGGCTGTCCTCCAAGGTCAGTCAGGGCCCAGGGGTTGTAGGGTCACAGAGGAGGGTGGGTGGGGAGGAGTGAGCCCTGACCCGAGTCTTGCATCTCCCATGCAGATGTCCATGCCCAGGTGAAGCTGGAGCAGCCTGCGGCAGAGCTGAAAAGGCCCGGGGAGACTCTGAGGATCTCCTGTAAGACTTCAGGGTACAGTTTTACCAGCTACTGGATCGGCTGGGTGCGCCAGATGCCTGGGAAAGGCCTGGAGTGGATGGGGGCCATCTATCCTGGTGACTCAGATACCAGATACAGCCCGTCCTTCCAAGGCCACACCACCATCTCCACAGACAATCCACCAGCACTGCCTACCTGCGGTGGAGCAGCCTGAAGTCCTCGGACTCAGCCGTGTATTACTGTGCAAAGGACACAGTGAGGGAAACCACGTCCCGAGAGGGACAGAAACCTGCACCAGTTCACAGCCGCAGAGGAGAGCCTCAGAGACCTCCCCAGGGACCTCCCCGATCCAGCACCGGAGGACGCACCATCTGCTGTGCCCACAGGACTGAGAACATGAGAGAAGAGTCGGAAAAGAGCCTGATCTGACAGGCCTGGCAGGGGTCCCACTCCTGGGTCTGTGATGCCTGCCATGGGAACATGGTTTCCCTGCAGGAACTCACACTGTGTCCTCAGCAAGACTGGCCCCCACTGTTCTTTCCAGGATCCCAGTCAAGGGCGGCTTGAGCTATGCATCCTGCATACACCAGACGGTTTACTTAGTGCAACGCCCACACAACACATCGCTGCCTGCTGTCCTCCCTTCCCCCTCACGTTCCCTGCTTCCTGCCTTCCTTACTTCCTCCCACCCCTCTTCTCTCTCTTCCTCCCCCTTCCACCCCTTGTTAACTGCCTTTTCCTCTTTTCTTTCCCTCCTTCTTTGCTTCCCACTTTCCTCTGTTACATCAATTACACATAAATTTTACACGTTATCATCTCATCAAAGTATGTATGCATTTGCTCCTCTTTGTCAAGATGTGTAAGAGTTTCGTGTATTGTACTGGCTTCTTCTCAAAGTTCAGCGCTGCTTTGCTTCAGTTCCACCTGTATTTTAACATCCATTTCTATGCTTCCAACTCTAGTGGAGAAACTCTAGTGAGGAATCATGATAACCAGTTGCTGAGCACC